GTTGCCCCTGGATCAGTACTGACGTCTCTCGACCTGGTTTCATTTGTTTCCGATGTAGTCATTGTGTGATGCGGCTGTCCCGAGTTTAGGACGTCCGGTCTCCACAGGGGCGATCGGTCATGTACAGGTCCGGCAGACTTCAACATCTCTCTACATCATATAGTCTTCCTCCTAACCTCTTACAGTATACAGTCACACTTTGGTTTATCTCTATCTCCTCTAAATCACTAATTGGGAGGAAGGTAGTCGGTTCCCGTAACTCTCTTTTCCACGAACCCAGAAAAGTCGTATGTTACTAGGGTTTGTGTGCGGGCCCGTTGCCTCCTTACCTAAGTATTTCTCTTTTGCTCACCGTTCTTGTGATCATTTTGACCCCACGGGGTGAGATCTTGCGCGGAGCCCCAGATCGAGGGAGATTATCAGTGGTCTTGTATGTCTTCCATTTTCTAATAATTGCTCCCACAGTTGATTTCTTCACACCAAGCTGCTTACCTATTGCAGATTCAGTCTTCCCAGCCTGGTGCAGGTCTACAATCTTGTTTCTGGTGTCCTTTGACAGCTCTTTGGTCTTGGCCAAGTGGAGTTTGGAGTGTGACTGTTTGAGGTTGTGGACAGGTGTCTTTTATACTGATAACGAGTTCAAACAGGTGCCATTAATACAGTTAACAAGTGGAGGACAGACGAGGCTCTTAAAGAAGAAGTTACAGGTCTTTGAGAGCCAGAAATCTTGTTTGTTTGTAGGTGACCAAATACTTATTTTCCACCATCATTTGCAAATAAAGTCTTTAAAAATCATTTTCATCAATTTTATTTTCTCATTTTGTCTCTCATAGTTGAGGTATACCTAGGATGAAAATTACAGGCCTTGAACTTGCACAATTGGTGGCTGACTAAATACTTTTTTGCCCCACTGTATATCATAACCATTCAGAGCGCCTGATCTGCCTTGTTGACATTCATTTTGTATGTCTCTCCCTCCGTTTGTGAATTTTTACATGTACAAAGACATATTTACAACATTGAATATTTAGACATTTTAATCTGCAGCGCATCGTTTTCTGTTAATACCATAACACAGATTATATTCATTAGATTGGCAAAGATTGTACAATGTAATCATTTGCTATCCTCTCAAAGCAAGTAATTCACAGAGTGTAACTATATTTCCTAATGTTCACTGTTAGAGGTTTGTAAACATAAAGACATCAAAACAACAGGTAAATATGGTCAGTTACTAATCAGTTGAATTAAGTAAACATTTTGTTTGTGTTATCTTATCTTTGTGTCTTTCTCGTCTTCTTACTTTTCTTCTTTCCTTTCTTGAAACTCTATTTATAACTAAATCAGAAATGTTCCTGACACGTTATAAAACAACTCAGTGGAGACTCGTTAATGCAACAGTGATGAAAAGTGACACTTGGGCTCAATACCTGATATGTTACTCATTATCATTTATCACACATCCAGTGTGTGAAGAAGTGAGTGTGTGTACGCCATACTTTAGCAAAGAAATGTATATGTGAGTTTAGTTTTTGCCTTGTTTTTGGATTCATATTCTGCTTTCAGCCCCCCCACAGTAGTCTTTGCTGAGCAAATGAATCATTTATTTTCAAACAAAAACATTTATTCCCATTTAAAGATCTTGCTTGACAAAAACAAAGATAATGCAACCTTAACATGTTATTTTTCTCACCAATATGTTGAGTGTCTTCTGTCATGATCCCACCCCTCAGTAAGCTAGTCCGACAATAAGTGTAGCTGCATCAGTTGGTTGGTCGGTTGGTTGATTGGTCGGTCGTTCCACTACTTTGATACCGACTGAAATATTTAAAAATCTATGGATGGCTTTGGCCTTTTCACAGATATTAGGCTTTGAACAATGGCTTTCCATCTAGCACCACCAGCAGTCAAAAAAAAAAATCAGTCATGCATGGTTCCCAAATGTCCTTCGAACTTTGGTGATCCTCTGACATTTCCTCTAGTGCCCCAATAACTATTGGATTGATTGGATGGAACGTGGGTCACACATTCATGTTCCTTTCAGAGTTAATTGGACTATATAAATATAAAATACTATAAATTGTACACATGGCGCTCTAACCTGAGATGGTGATTATGGTAATAGATCAGTGTTGCAAAATCTGGCTAAATGTAATGAATTGTAAAATAAGTTCACACACTAACACAAGCTATCTTCTAAGATACTATGTTCTTTATAGATTCCTAACATTCATTCAGCTATTTAAAACATATGTTAGCATGAGTATGTAGACATTAATAGCATCATAAGTTTCACGTCAGCTGTATAAAACCACTGAAATTTTCGAACATCCAGCATATTGTGTCTTCGGGTTCAACGACACAAACAAAGCTTAATATTTCACCCACTCTTCAGCAATGCTGGTACAAGTATATCAACCATTGTTAGAAACAATAAATAAATAGAATAGAATCCAGAAAATATGTATGGGGTATTAACAGTGTTGGTGTTAATTAAACACAATATAAGGCACCACATTTGTTTTGTTTATCATTTAAACACATGCCACTTAGTGCATGTGTTATGTGTTGTAAATACAGCTAACAACAAGAATCTTTGAAAACGTACAATTCTTTAGGTCAGAAAATAATTCTAAAATCACTTGAAAAACCAACACAAGTTTAACTCTTTAGAATATAATGACAATCTCTAAGTATGTAAGAATCAATCTGGACGCTACTAACCAGATCAAAATAGTATTCTATTATTTTTCCTTCACTTTGCGTGTTGACTCTTAATGCGTCCAATTGAAAATGATGTCCACAAGTTTTGAGCTGTGATGGTGTCTTCAGTAGTGTTCAAAAAGCAGTTAAAACATTTAAATAAAGCTCTCAAAAATGTTGGTTTGATGAGTGAAAATCTCTTTCAAATCCAACATTTGCCCTTTTGCACAAGAGATGTTTGGCAAATCCTCATGATTGGCTCCAGCACTGTCTCCACCACATGAGGTGCTAACAACTAAAAACACTGTCCCGGTTCAGAGTAGAGATGGTGAACCTTGTATGTTAGGTATGTAGTCACTCAATGAGTTGTTCCATCATGAAAGCTCTTTCTCTGTTTTGTCTGGGTTTCCAGGGAAGCCAAGATAGAAATATCAAATAATTAATCTTAGCAGCATCTCTTGTACACTCAAGCTAAGTTTTACTCCATCACAAGGTCAAAATGATTTCCAAAGGGAAGTGCTTTGTTACGCTCCTTGTAAGCCTCACGTCAGTAACATAAGCACTCATTTTTGCTAAAATGTTTTCTCACAATCACTCTTGCGAATTAAATCAGACAGTATTCAAAAGCAATTTAGAATTTGTCGTGACCTCACTGAGATACGCTTTTTAAACATGTTTTCCATCCGTCTGTCCCTCAGTTGACATCGAAAGCTTTTGAGGTAATAGAAATGCTATCGTTGTGGAGCCTATAATGACTATCAGTAGCAAAGGCATCATTTGTGTGATGTGTTTTAGTGCTGTTAAAATTATCAGCCCAAAGTCACACCAGACACAAGATATTTGTAGCGTACACAAAAAACCTACGCGATCCCTGATTCAACCCACACTGAACAGTGATCCGCCGTTACTAAAGCAGCGGTTTGACGATTTGTTTACCAAAGCACTAAATGCCCACAGTGCATCTGTAATGCTAGGAGGGGGCTTTGACCAGTCATTATTGATATTTGGTAAAACTCACAACATGTAAGCCCTATGAGATTGGTAATAGATGGCTGTGGAGGAAAATAAATAGTCAAAGGCCTTTATTCCTCTACGCTAAGTTCCAACCACGCCACAGGCTGGCGTTGTGACCTTTCCAGAAAACATTTGTGATTCCAC